AGAGATGCTGGAGGATTTGACGACTGACGCGTTCATCAATGCTTTGCGCTGCTTCATTGCCCTTCGTGGAGCTGTTAGGCACATTAGGTCTGATCAGGGAACTAATTTTATAGGGGCAAGAAACGAGATGGCAAAGGCTCTGAAAGAACTTGATAAGGAAAGAGTGACTGCATACCTAGCAGAAAAACAGTGTGACTTCCAGATGAATACGCCCCACTCTAGTCATGCTGGAGGTGCATGGGAGCGCCAAATCCGGACAGTGAGAAGCGTACTGAGCACGGTCCTTGCCTGCAGTGTGGGAAGGTTGGATGATGCCTCATTAAGGACATTCCTTTATGAAGCTATGTGCATCGTGAATAACTGCCCACTCACTGTTGATAACAACAACGACCCCAAAAGCTTGGAGCCACTCACACCGAACCACTTGATCACCATGAGATCCTCAATCCCACTTCCACCTCCAGGTAAATTTGTCAAGGAGGACCTGTATGCTAAGAAATGGTGGAGAAGGGTCCAATACCTGACTGAGCAATTTTGGCACAGATGGAGAAAGGAATACCTGGCCAATATTGCTCTGAGACAGCGATGGCATACACCAAGACGTAATGTGGAGGTGGGTGACATTGTGATTCTCAAAGAAGAAGATGTTCCTCGCGATGAATGGAAACTCGCTAGGGTTGTGGAAGCATGTGAGGATGATGATGGACTTGTACGGAAGGTGACAATCCAGACTGGTTATCAGAAATTAGGAAAGAGAGGCGAACGCCTTGTCCAACCATCCGTCATTCAAAGACCCATTCAGAAATTAGTGGTCCTGGTAAAAAAAAACTACTAAAAAATGAGAAAAAAATGTCATTCATTTATTAGATTTCCCTTCTAAAATACAAGTTGTCATTATGCTTTACTTCATGCACATGTTGTGGAGATGTAAATTCTGTTCATATTGTTGAGTTCATTTGTTGAGAAAAGAATATTGTTTATGTCAATGCAAGAGTGATTTAACATAACAACATGGTGCTTGGGAATTACCATTGATTTAATGAACAATACAAGTGTATTTACATTCACAGTTGTAATAATCAAAGGTAATTGGTAGGAGTGTAACTTACGTTGAAATGTTTGTGTTGGTTGCCATGACAACACCAGCAGCACATCTGAGATCGTTATGTTGTCTCTGTTTGTTTTCTTTATTTGGTACTCATATTTGTGTACCTGTGCAGTGGAGTGATACATCTTTCTTATAAGAAATGTTTCTGTTGAGATTGTTGTGAGGTAGTCGCTTCCTGTGAGTCGCGGGAGAGACGACACAGAGCGGTAACACGACGGACTTTTTGCAATATACATCTTTTCTACTGCTGGGTTTACAAGGTGTACATGGTAAAAAACGTTATACTGTTCTTTGTTTAACACTTGTGCACTTTATGAAAGGAAATAAGTGGCTGAGATGAATATCATATGTGCTTTTGATATTATTTTACTTGTTTCTAGTTTTCATGGTGCTCCATTATTGTGAGAGAAATAAAAGAATTGTGGACATCAGTACGAAGCGTGGATTCTTTCGACCAGAGTAGCTATAGTCTGAATGGCTTAAATAAATATACTGTAATGAGTGTGTTTAAATTGTAAAATACAGAGGTGTGGACGCGAGTCACATGACGTGGACTCGAGTCAGACTTGAGTCATTATTTGAACGACTTCTGACTTGACTTGATAAAATCTATAAAGACGTACGATGACTCGGACTTGAAAGCCAATGACTTGCGACTTGAATGGTCTTGCATCTGTTGACTTGATGATGACTTGAGCGTATTTTATATTTTAACACAAAAGTGGCGCAGACATGGACAAAAATCCTGATTCATTCTTGGTTCTGGGTGATGTTGTTCTGCTGAATGCAGCAGCACTTTCTGCTGTTTGAGTGAATAAATGAAGCTTTAAGAAGCTTTATTTCTGGAATTTATTCATCATTGTCATTAAATTGAAGTTGGACAGATGATTTAGTTATGACTTGAAAATTCAAAGTTAAGGACTTGACTTGCAATTCCACATCATTGGCTTTGGACTCGACTTGGACTTGGTCTTTACTCTATACTTGACTGGAAAGACTTGTGACTTGCAAAGCAGTGACTTGGTCACACCTCTGGTAAAATATGTAATTTAATCTAAATTCACTGAAGTAAGATGGTTTGACATTAAATGTTTGTAACGTTTCTGCAGCATGATGGTGGACACCTCATTGTCTCACAATGGCCAGGTCAAATTCTGACTGAGGAAGAAGAATTGTATTTAGAATAAAATAGAATAGAATACTTTATTTGTCAATTCTTCGAATGTGCTTGCCATACAAGGAATTGAAATTACGTTTCACACTGTCCCATGCGCAGACATTTACATAAAGTGCAGATGCACAACAATAACAAAACAAAAAACATCCCTAACAATAAGATAATATTAAACAGGTAAATATCGCTAATAATATACAAAACATATAGCAGCAGGTGTGTGCAATTTCTATGCAGAGGTAGTTGTTTACAATCAGAAATGTTTACCCCATTATTGGTTCAACCACTATTTCCTTTTTGTATAATGTGTATGTGTGGTGTGTGTGTGTGTGTGTGTGTGTGTGTGTGTGTGTGTGTGTGTGTGTGTGTGTGTGTGTGTGTGTGTGTGTGTGTGTGTGTGTGTGTGTGTGTGTGTGTGTGTGTGTGTGTGTGTGTGTGTGTGTGTGTGTGTGTATTTATATAGCACTTTCCACAGAAACAATCACAAAGTGATCCACAAAAGCACAGGTGTGATTGTTTTATACATACATTTGCAGGGTTTGGGTTTATGAGGGGATTCTCAGGTGTTTGTGTCAAAGCTCTGATGGAAAGACAGGGAAATATTTTGTTCCATTTGTTCCATTAGGTTGACCAATCAAATGGCCGTATTTGTTCCATGTCTTGAGACTGACATTTTTGCCGACGAATCAGAGAGCTGGATTGTCACAGCCTGTCCGAGCGGTCCGCCATTGCTCTGCTCCGAGATCTGAGAGGTGAGAAGTACTATCTTTTATTCTTTTTATTTGTAATAAAAAAAACTTACAAAAATTAAAAGCATTACAGCTCGTTTAGGAGGATTAAGACGTTACAGGACTTTGTTTTTACCGTAATGTCGTGAAATGTCAACATTGTTTTAGCTAGCGTGCTGCTGCATTACGCTACTGTTAACCAATGCTTGTATTTACGGAATTTTTTAAATGAACACCATCCTGATTGCATTAATAACCACGTGTAAGTGTTTATTCAACCACGTTGTTCATCATCACGATCGTGCATGTTTGTGCTCTGATTAGTTTTATCTTCACTTATAGAAAATCCAGCCAACAACTGGGTTTGCTAGTTAGCTTTTGGCTACCTAGAAAATGTGAGTGTTTGTTTCTTATGCTGTTTATTTCACATAAGTACGGAGCCCCTCTCAATGTTCTATTCCAATCCTTCCTATCTTATCTATTAAAGGTCTTCTGTTAACTGACAGAAAATGCAACAATCTTACAATAAGATCGGCCTTAAATGAATCTCTTTTTCCTGGAAAAACAAACAAAAATAACATAATTTACAAATTTGATAAAATATCTGTTGAGAAAATAAGAACTATCTACCTAAAATTACCTATACCACCGAAAGCTAAAGAAACCCACTTTAAAATAATGAATGCAATCTATCCTTCAAAAGAGTTGTTAAGAGCTCGTTTTAATATTGATAGCAACAACTGCTCTTTTTGCGAAAATCACATAGAAACTATAGATCATATATTTTATGAATGTCAGAAAACACAATTGTTCTGGAAAAAGCTAGAGATGTGGATCAGAACTAAAATACCACTCCCAGTTCACATCACTAAAGATATGATAATATTTGGGATTATATTCAATAATAAAGATAAAGAACTCTGCTATAATATCATCCTCTGTTTAGCCAAATTTTTTATCCATAAACAACGAATTTTGCAATCATCCCCTGTCTTCAATGTTTTTTAATAGAATTTCAATTATATTTAAAATCCCGGAAACAACTCAACAAATATAGTGAAAATCTATATAACATGTTAGCTGAACTTCCAAAGTGATTTCCTAATTCTATATGATATATGCTGTACCCTCATTGAAAGCTGTACTTGTTCTTCATGTTCTTTTGTCTCTTGTTGTTCTCTTTTACTGGATACTTACAAATGTTATATTAACTGCTCCTTTTGAATTTAAGTTTTGAACTTAACATTGTCAAGGTGCCATGTTTGTTTGAAAATTTACTAAAAAAAAACAACAAAAGAAGTACGGAGCCCCTCTGATGACATGGTCCAAAAAATAAATAAATTGTGGCCATGAAATAGCTATAACGTGCCCACGAAATACTTATTTGTGGCCACGAAATAGCAGGATGAGGTAATCTGCTCCTGATTTTAATAAATAACACCTGACCCCGCCAGTCACCAGTAGGGGAGCTGTGGGTATAAACAGCAGACTCGGGCAGTGTTTCCTTCCTTGTTTACGGAAGTAGCTGCACTACCCAAACAGAAGCTGTATTTTGGAACCGTGGCAGCGTAAGCTAGTGATGGAATGATGATACCTCAAGGAGTGTATTGACACACTAGCCAAACTGTGTCGGCACTGTATTGACACTGTGTTGGTCACTCAATAGCGACACCTGCAGTATTTCTAAAATCATTGCAGGTAAATAAGATGGAAAAGGTTACATGCTGCAAACCCACACCAGGTGTGCAAGATTTAATTTCCTGTAATCAAAATATTATATCATTATGCAATTTAATTTACTCAATTTGTTAAGTTCTTTATGAAAGGAGTTTAACATTTGCTTGTAACCTTTGTGTAAATGCTACAATGAGTTGGCATGTTAAATCTTCTGAATGTGTCTAATAAAAATCAGAAGTAAAAGTTTTAACTTGTGTAAATGTGTTAACCTCTGTGTTAGATCATACAAAATAAAAGACTAAATATGGATTCATTTATGCATTTTTATTGAGGAACAAAAGTTTGTGCAGTAAGTTTGCTCCAAGGCGATTTCTCCTCTTAGACACCAGTTCCCCTGCCTTAGAAAACACTCTTTCACAGGGTACAGATGAAGATGGTGTGCATAAGAATTGAAGTGCGAGTTGATAAAGGTGTGGATATAAATTCTGGTTATTTTTCCAATATTGTAATGGGTCTTGTGTTCTTGGTGCATTTCTTTCAGCCAGGTAGCGTTGGACTTCAATTATGGAATTGGCTGTAGTATTAGAGGTCATCCTGCTCTCCTCAACCTCCATATCAAGGTGCCTCCAGAGATTGTGTCCTAACAAATAAATTGGAAATAAGTCTGTTAATCATTGGTTTACTATCACATGACAAACTTCCGCAGAAATAAACAAATATTCACAAAGAAATGTGTTTTCATACCTGAACTGTGTTCTGATCCATGTGAAGTGCTAGGCTCCTCTACTGCTGGGTCAGGCTCATGGCTCCTCATTTCAGCAGCACACTCTGACTTCAGTCTCTTGACAGCTTCAGTTGCTTTCAGTGGACTAAAAAAGCCAGCAGTTTTAAACCTGGGGTCCAACAATGTTGCCAGTGACATCACACTGAGCGATTCCATGTTGCAGATGGACTCGGTTAGCTGCTTTGACAGATTTTCAGCCAGCTGTTTAGCAGTGGGTTTTGTCACCGTTGAAGATTGATGTTGAAGCTCAATGTGGATCATTCTCATCAATGGAATAACCTTTGACCCCGAGACTCTTTTTTCCTCAGAGAGTTCTCTTGTGGCTTGGTAAAAAGGAGCAAGCACCCTGAGCATCTCTTCAATGATTTCAAATTCTTCTGGAGTCAGTGGAGTGAGATCAGTTTTTAATGAGGCCAGTGACACCCAGACTGCCTCCTTCTGCTCAGTCAATCTCTCCAGCATGTGGTAGGTGCTGTTCCATTGTGTCGGCACCTCATTTATTAATTTATGCAATGGTGTTCCCAGCTGTTGCTGCATTTGAGTGAGCTTTTCCTTGGCCATGGTGCTTGATCGAAAGTATGTCACAATTTGCCGTGCTTTGTTGCGTAGTTCTGTTAGTGTTGAGATTTGATCACATGACTTTCTTACAATTAAATTTATGGAATGGGCAATGCAAATGGTTTGCCGTACTTGCAGCATTCGAGCACATGCAATCATGTTTGCTGCTGCATCAGTGACAAGACACCTGACTTTGCCTGCTATGCCCCACTCCTTCATGAGGCTCCTTTTAACTGTGGCCATGTTTTCTGCAGTGTGTTTCTGAGGGAAATGCTGCACTCCCAAGACTGATGAACAGAGTTCATGGCTTTCTTTGTCCACATAGTGGCAAGTAACGGCAAGATATGCCTCCATATTAATGGATGTCCACATATCAGCTGTTAAACTAACAGCAATGACGCTCTGGAGGTCCTTTTTTGTTTTCTCCTTTTCCTCTTCATATTTCTGGCTCACCAAGTCCTTGATGACCTACAAGTAAACATACCAATACTGTAATACCAATGTTACACACACACACACACACACACACACACACACACACACACACACACACACACACACACACACACACACACACCATGAAAGTAGTTGATTAATTAAAGCAAACATTTCTTAAACATACCTTCCTGCTTGGTAGAACATATGAGGGTGCAATAAGCTTCAGGAGCTCCCTGAATCCCTCATTTTCAACAATGGTGAGTGGCTGGCAGTCTTTGATGATCATTTTAACCACAGCATCATCCACTGCTTGCTTGTTAGGAACTGCAAGCCAAAAAGAAATACTTTTTTAAAAGCTTTAGAAAGCTTATGAAAAGGATTTTACAAGCAATACTACAGAGTCACACAAAGCCTTTTGTGTGTAATAGACTAATTTTGACAATTCAGATTTTTTGGTGATAATTTCAACATACCTGGGGTATCTACCAATTCATCGTTGCCATGCCGAACTCTAATGCCTCAGCATTGATGAAGTGCTCTTATTTGAGTAAGACAGCTCTGTGGAGCAGAGCCGACACTTCACCTACAATAAAATAAATAGTTAATTTATCTGAAAACAATTTAAGCCTCTTACCAGAGAAAGACTACAAACACATTTACAATACAGAAATAACAGTAAACGTTGCCAAATGGAGAAAACAATTTACCTTTTTTGGCGTCAAAAGATCAAAATTATTCCAGACTGGGGAAAACTTCTAGGAACGATCCATGAAGTCAGCGGAGAAAAGTGAGCGTGAGAGTAAGGAAAAATCCAAAATCAAACAGCAAAACTCTAACCAACAAATCCGCAACATGTCGATACAGTTTGTTTCCTTATAAACACAATTTGGCGCGGCGCATCCAAACGACACACAATCCTGTGTCGGTCACGTGATATTTTCTTAAAGCGATACACGCACCGATACGGGGTTTCACTCTTGTGCAGTCGACACTGTGCTGACGCGCCAGTGTCGTTCGTCCCATCACTAGCGTAAGCTAGATGCGTGTGGATCGCGGTGAGTATTCTGATCAGCTGTTAAAAAGCAGATTGGTGATAACTGATATAGGCTATACACAGACAGAGGCGACATTTGGAAGCCTGACGAAAGCTGTAACGTTACCGCGTGCTGTTGGAAAAGAAGCGTGCTTGCCTTCTAGGTGGTATGTCGGCTGTCGGCGTGGTATGTATGTATGTGTTTTTGAGTCACTGCTGTGATTTCCCCCCCCCCCCCATGTGTGCCTAAAAGGTACCAATTTTATTTTCCTTGGGTGAAATTCCCAAGTTGGCATTGTTTTAACCTTTTTACTTAACATTCTGCTTAGTACCAGTAAACCCCATACCACCTCCGCCTCGCCACATTAAGATATTAGCTTCTATTTTGGGATGACGTATTAAAGTCGGTCCGCTCCAGCCAGTGACTCCGAACCTGACCACATCTCCTGTTACTGCAGCATTTGTTGTTCCAGTCCGCGTGGCAGCGGATCGCAGATTCAGCCACACCATAAAACAGCAATAAGTCGGTCTGAGGCAAAAGTGAACATCATGGCTTTTCCCTCTTGTCCCCTATAGACATTTGATTACGCACAAGTAGGTGATCAGTTCAGGTTTACGCAGAGCAGAAGGAAGGAGAGCGCTCTGGCCGCACAGGTTAAACATTCCTACTTTAAGAAAACTATTAAATTGCATTGTTTATGTGCTACCTGGGCACTCTAAATATTTATTTAAAATGAAATCAAAGGAAACTGTAATGGTATTGAATGTTTATTAATTACTATTTAAAAAATGAAAGTGATGGGGAAAAAGGTCGATCTATGACAGCTGCAGGCGCGTTCCAGTGGAACCACGGCTCACTGGTGCACAAGTGAGCACATCTGGGCTGGGCAGCTATTTCGTGGCCACGAATAAGTATTTTGTGGGCACAATTTATTTATGTTTAGGACCATGTCATCAGAGGGGCTCCGTACATAAGACAGGACAGCACGTCATGTAAACTAAGCATTAATGAAAAATAAGATAATCTGTTACTGATCAGCAGTTGCTCAGGTTTTGTATGAACTGTAAACCTGGTTTTCCTGCAGCTTCTCATCCAGTCTTTTGCTCCTTTATTTAGATGGAACATCCAACATTTACAAAGGCCAAGAATGGGACCCTGATCCTCAAGGCCTCAGATGAGGCAAAGGCCGTGGGACCCCAGAGGCAGGGGTACAGGGCCAAGCAGCCAGAGGAGGTGGAGGCGGAGGCAAGGGCCCACGTCGCCAGTGAGGGTGGTGACGTCAACAACGCCACCCTCGTGCTGAGCCGGTGGAAGGTCCAGTTTGGGACGTACCAGGGCAAGACTTTCCACTGGCTCCTGCAGAACGACGTGGGCTACGCCGTGACGGTGGTGGTGGCTTCTCACCAGAAGGAGCAAGAGAGAACTGGCTCTCAGTCCCCTCTGATGGCCAACAAGGTGGGATCTCTCAGCTCCCCTCCTCTGTGCATAACAGAGTTTGATCATTCTAACCTTTACTTTGTGAACACACAGGACGCCTTCACCCGTTACTCCTTGGCATGCCTGGAATTTGCTGAGGCAGTCCGGTTCCGGCAGGCGTTTGAGGAGGCGCGGGTGAAGTCCCTCCAGCCTGGTCAGGAGGGACTGGCCCTTGTTGGCTTTGGGGACTTTAAGTTTGAGAGCCTGCAGAGCCAAAACGATCCGGTGGTTACTTTTATTAATAATGATGATGGTATTATTTATAATAATGGTAATAATCCACTTAGTTTGTAAGTTCCTTTCTAGACAGCCATGGTCTCCCACCAATAGAGTCAAAACACAACAACAACTTACAAGTTAGTCTGAATGAACTTCTGTGTCTCACCTGTACAGGTTTGTCAACTACCTAAGGAGGACGACGCCAGCTCCAGGCTCACAGATGGAGAACGCCGTCCGCTACGTGAAGAAGAGGGACAGACAGAGGGAGGGCGCTACTGCTGCTGCTGGTGCTGCCACCACCTCCACCCCAGTGGCTGCATCCTCCTCCAGCTGCAGCAGAGTGTCTGTCTCTCCTTCCTACCAGGGGCCGAAGGCTGCTTCTCAGTATGTTTTCTGTCTATTTAATCTCTGATGGTTTACAACACTTTAAAATAACATTCTGTTAAACTAACACTTTGTCACCTTTCAGATTTGAAGCCTTTGTGTCTGGGCGGCGTTCTGTGTCTGCAGTGGAAATGCAGGCAAAACTGAAAAAGATGGTGGCCCCTAAGTCTGTTTAATGATCTCTTTTGTATTCTTTTACTCAAGGTCAGCACATTGAGTGTTTCACACTTACACTTTCTGGAGCAGAAGCCTGATGTTTGATGGTTTGATTTCCAGCCTCCTTCAGACCAGCTCGTCCACCCACAGCATCTGGGGAGCCCAGTGATGAAGAGCTGGTCCAGGCGGTAGCTGACCAAGGGCAACGTAAGTGACAGAAATGTGTTCATTTCATATTTTGTTGGTAACAGTCAGATGTGAACAGATGTTGACTCGTTTCTCATTTTTCTCTACTTCATAAAAACTTGTGTAATGACAGATGAACTGGGAGTGTCAGTAAGTTTGGGTTCAGTTACACTTTGATTGGTTGTTGGTAACTCACAAGTAGCAACCCGCTGCCTCTAACTAGTCTCCATCACTGATGTCATGGTCTGTAGATGTCACCTTGCTCTGTCTTGCCTAATAAACACACCTGGTGCTCATTAATCGTCAGATCCTCGTCTCTCTAGCTGCTTCCTGCTTTGGCTTGTGGTGTCTGTGCAGCTCACAGTTCAACTGAATTGTTACTAGTCACTAACTCGTGGCCCTTGTGCTTCAGCTTCTGGAGTACAGGCACCTCTCCTGCTCCCTCCTCCTCCTCCTTCCCCGCCGCCTCCTGTGGCTACAAACAAACCATCTGCGGGACGGGAGGAACCGACAGATGAGGAACTCCTGGAGACCGCACAAGAAACTCCAGATCTCCCTGCTGCAGTCCTCCCTCCCCCACCTCCTGCTGCCAGCTCTAAGGTGAGGCATCAGACATTAATTCAATTCAAAGAAACTTCATTAATCCCAGAGGGAAATTGGTTTCAGTACACAATTCTGAGAGCAGACATATGGGCATAGACACATGACAAGAGTTGGTGACTGCAACCCGAGTCGCCTTTCTCACTCTGCTGCTTTGTTTTCCCTTTCTCTAGTTGCTGCCGGAGTCCTGGCAGGCAGCTCTGAGTGGATCGGCCGGTTGCTGTTCACCAGGGACCGTGCTGGGAGGCCGCGGCTCATCACAGAGCTCAGTCCCTGGTGGTACCCTCCCCAGCCCCGGGCGGTCTACAGTCAGCCTCCCGCCTCTCCCGACCCCTTCTTTGCATGTCGGCTCTTCCTGTGGATGCCTCACAGGATGTGGCACCTGCAGCTGACATGCCCCCAGCCTTTGTGCAGCGGCATCCTGATAAAGGCTGGGCTCTACAGGACCATCCGGAGGGTCCCGGACATCAACGACTGGTATATCATGGCCACTGAGTACCTGGAGTGCCGTCGATGTAAGAAGAAGGTCGGAGGGTGGTCGTAGGGCATCGTAAGGCAGCTGCCCCCCACCTACAGCTGCCAGTTTCCAGCTGTCCTCTCGTACAAGTATGAGAGAAGTGAAACTGTGTGCTCGTGCGGGTGTGAGTATAATGTGGTAATGTTTGTTTTGTTCACGCAGGCTGTCCTGTGACCAGAGGGTGGTTGCTATGCTGAGATCTCGCACTCTGGGCAACAGTGCCACTCAGCTGTGCAACACCCTGCGGGAGCAGCATTCTGACGCCTGGATGCGGAGAGCGATTCAGTACCTCGGCGTCTGCGAGCAGTTCCTGGCCTTGGGTACCACGAGAGGGCAGATCGCACTACCTCCCCAGATGCCCCCTGTGCCCTCACCCGTCTGGCTGCTGACCGTTTACGGTTACGACGTGCTGATGCGGCTGGACGAGTTCAAGGCCAGGATCACGTCCACCTTCGGATCTATCCTAAAGATGGATTCCACAAAGAAGGTCGGTCACCGCGTTGTGTTTACTTGCTGCTTGTGAACAACAGTTCTGCTGGTCTACGCAGGAAGTTCTCTGTGTGCAGGTGACGGAGAAGCTCGCAGGTGCCGCCTCTGGCACGGCCGCCTGGGCTACCAACGTGGGCAACGAGCACGGCCAGGTCCTCATGAGCGTCCTCACTTGCTGCGAGGGCTCCGAGGGCCTGTCCAAGATGGCGGCCGGACTGATGAGGCGGTACCGATTGGCCGAGGTACCTGCCCCCCAGCTCATCTACGTGGACCTGCCCCCCAGCTCATCTACGTGGACCGCGACTGCTGCAAACAGGACGGCGTGTCCAAGATGGCTGCCTTATTTCCGGTATAAACTTGCATCGTTGCTGATTGACTTGTTTAGTTGTTTATTTAATTTTTCATAGCAATGATACCTTATTTTGTTGTGAATTACTTTAATGGATCACCAGGTCACCTGAATTTCTAAACAATGTCTTTCTGAAAAATTTAAAACAGACACCCAAATTCATTTCTGTAAAAGACAATTTATAGAGCAGTGAATGTGTTCGGGGTTCTGATCTTGACTGTGGTGCAGGTAAAACATGGTGTGCAACACTCCAATGACTAACCTCTCTGTCGCAGGAGTGGGAACAGCTCATAGTTCGGCTGGACATCTGGCATCTGATGCGCCGCTTCTCATCAGGTGTCACCAGAGATCCACAAGCTGTATCCCACATTCATGAGGCAGCTGTCTTACTGCATCTTCGAGGTGGACGCCGAAGATGCTCGCCGTCTCGTGGGAGCAAAGCGGTCCGAGCTGGAGGGGACGCACAGGATGGTCAACCTGACGGACGCTGATGTGATCCAGTGGGATCAGCAAGGAGGAATGGAGGCTCCACTGCCGCAGGAGGACGCGTGGAGCCGAGGAGTCGACGCTCCTCATCCAAAACCTCCTGGACACCTTCAGAGGGCCCGCAGGACACAACACTCTGAACATCCCGTTGCTTGACGCTCTCCGCATCCAGGTCATCTGGGACACGCAGAGGCGCCACCTCAGCTCCATCTAGGAACCCCTGGTGTGCAGCTGTACACCCAGACGGGCAGTCTGCAAAAAGGAGGGGTCAGGCTGCCCATCTATCGCTGCGCGAGGGGCTCCACTTCCCTGGAGTCCTTCCATCTCCACCTGAACTGCTTCATCCCAGGTGAGAAACCAGAGTCTGTCAAGAAATCTGTTTTTCTGTAAACTGTTCATTTTCAGGTGTCAGTAAAAGCTTAAGCTGATTTTCTCATCTAATCACGCAGGAACGTCGGCCAGTGCCAAGTACTTCCAGGCGTTCCTGATTGAGGGACTGGTCAGGTGGAACGAGCGGCAGCTGAGGGACACGAGGCGCCTCTGCTGTCCTACAGTGGCCACCTCAGACACGCCCCTAACCAGAAGAGCCAAAGGGTGCTTGGTCATCAGATGGTGAAGCCTGCTGCTTACACAGGTAGAGGAACAGAGAAACACGTTTTATTTACTCGTGATGTTTAATGACACTGTGCACCAATACTTTGCTAAGAAGGGCTTTGAACCGTTTACATTTCCACAAAATCTCAGGTGAGCTCATCGGGGTGGAGTACCTGTTCCAGCAGACAGGCCGCGTGCTTGAGGACGTCAGCGTGGACCCTGACGCTCGGGACAAGGCTGCTGCCGTCATCGACCTGGACGAGGTGGACGTGGGCGACTTTGTCGCCGCCTTCGTCCTTGACGTCCCGTCCACCAGCACTTCAGGAGCAGCCCGGTCAGGGGGTCCAGCTGTCGCACCCGGGTCTGAGCCAGCACATCCTGCCGCCCCTCCCGAGGTCCCTGGAAGCCAGACTCCTGAAGGAAACCACTCCTCTGATTCAGAGGTCTTTGATCCCCCATCTGCTAATCATTTCACAGCTGACCCACCTAATTTTGTTTTTTCACGTATTCAGAGATAATTCAGATTTTCTTTGTTTCTCAGAAGGAGATCCAGGGTCCTGACGGCCAGCCAGGATACCAGCATGTCTTGAAGCTGGCTCAGGCCCTGGTGGAGCTCAGGAGTCTCCAGGGGCTGTCTGACAGCAGGGTAGACAAGACTCATCGCGCTTTGGCAACGCCTGCCAGAGCGTGACAAACAACGGATCGTCTACCCTAGCAGATACCGGGAGAGGCAACCAAAGGGGCGGTTCAAGGCAGCGAAGGGGAAGGACACCTCCTGTCTAGGGATAGTGAGTCTCCAGCGGTACGAACTTTTTTCCTGAGTCTCTGTTCTCGTCGGTGTGTTCTGTCCATTAAAATGACTTCCCCATCTTTATCTTCCAGCTGCCTTGGAGGAGAACCCTCTGGCGCTGCAAATTGGCCAGACGCCAGCCGTGTGGTGGAGGCCATGTGCAGCCAGCTCTGCCGTCTGCACCCTGCAGCCGGTCGCGTGGACGGGGTCAGCAGGTCACGCTGGTTCCTAATCTGCGACGACTACATGGCCGTCAGACAGGTGGTGCTGAATTGACCGAGGCTGATGGCTCAGACCCAGCTTCAACTCTGAGTTGAACCAGAAGACCATCTCTCAATGGTGAGAACTGGTAGACCTTTGCTCGTGTTTCAGACTTCAGGTTAAAGCTTGCAGCCTCAACTCCGCTCATCCTCCTGTCCTTCCAGGTTCAGCCATAGACAGAAGGGGTGGGAGAAAGGCGTGCTAGAGCAGGCAACTGGTGCTGTTTCTGCTCCAACTTTCTCCCACCAGCCCATCCCTTCTGCCAAAGGGCTGTCCTCCGTACAGGTGGGAAGAGGACAGCCCTTTAAATACAACCTCCCCGAGGAGCAACAACCTGGTCCCTCCTCCAGGGGACTGCCGCCGCCACCACTACCTCCACCTGCTCCTCATCCCGGCCCCTCTACCAGCTGCAACCTCCCTCCTTCTTCTGCTCAGAGCCTGCACGCCATTCGTCCCTGCCTGGAATCCACTCCGCTGACTCCTCCTGTTCTGACTATACCTAGGACAACAGCATTTAGGAGGAGAAAGGCAGCGGAGGCTGTTGCTGCTGCTGCTGGCGTGCAGGCTCCACTGATCTCTGATCAGCTCCTGCTCTCGGATCCGTGTTCATCACAGCAGCTGAGTCACCATTTCACATCAAGACTAGTTTCTGTGGTTCTGATTTCACCTCCCCGAGTCAAGAGTTGTGAATTTACTTTGATTTCAACTTGTTTTAGTTTCAGTGGGTTTAAGGTGAGCCAAGGGAAACATTGTTTAGATCCTTCTGAGGTTCTTTTTATCATCCAGACTCGTGCAAAAACATCGTTTGAGATGTTTTAGATCAGATCTGACCATCAGGAACTGGATCTCCTTTATAAAAGCACACGTGTAGAAATCACCCTTCACTTTAATTTCCCACATGAGCTACAGTTAGCCTTTGTTTTTCATCAGGAGCTCAATAAACGTTATCCATTTCAAATGTAAACAAGTTTCTTCACTTAATTGTTTTAAAGTAATCGTTTATTCCATTTTTATTTAAATCTGTGGCAAAATGGTGCAGAAATAAAAATCTGATGTGACAGATATCAGCACATAGTTTAAAAAAATGCATGTTTGTATTTCAGATCAAAACATTTACCTGCGTTTTTATATGTGAAATATTTAAGATTTTATTCCTGCAGGTTTATTTTTACCCCTAAAAGAGCGCCCATTCAGCTGATCCTAAGTTAAAGAGCAAGTGACCCCTTACCAGAGTAATACTCCACTCCCACTTCCTGTTTGAAAAATGCAGCAAATGCTGTTGCCTAGCAGACTGAAAGGGCAGAGCCGACGACAAATACACACATACACGCAGGCTCACAACGACATTGTGATATCATATGGTATCAGCTAACGATCTAGGGTACCTCTTAGCCAATAGCGATGGCAGATTTAAATTAAAATGTAGTGCAGAGTTTTTACCTGACAACGGCACAACACTGACAGTTTTAGGTAGAAAATTAAAATTTTAACTAAAATGCACTAAAGTACTAAACTATTGACTTCACGTGTCTGCAGCACGATTAGACACACATTTATATAGTTTATCAGGAAAAAAATTTGATTTAGAGGTGATTTGCTCTTTAAACGGAGATAGCATATTCTGTCCTGCAAAACACGAAAACACAAAGCTTAAATCTTGTCTGATGTTTGGTGGGTTCCCAGCCGCTCTCAACACTCAATGAATCCAGAGCACAGATCCAATAATTCTCCAGATCAAACTTTTCCTGCTGCTTGAAGCTTTGAGGGAAAGTTATTATTTTACTGCAGGAATCTAAATGCTGAGCTGTATCCATGGAAACATGGAAATTCCACACCTGCTGCTTTTTCTGGATTAGCTTTTTAAACTTTATTTTATCCGTTAATGTTTCATAACCAGAGAGTTGGTGTGAGTTAAGGACCGTGCAGGATGGAGAATCAACCAGCAGGTGGCAGCAAATGCAGAAAGATGCAGGAAATCAGCATCAGAGCGACTCTTCTATCTTTGGGTCATGGCTGAAATGGACAAAACCTTGATATAAACTTATTTTATGTAGCAGGATGAGGTAATCTGCTCCTGATTTTAATAAATAACACCTGACCCCGCCAGTCACCAGTAGGGGAGCTGTGGGTATAAAAAGCAGACTCAGGCAGTGTTTCCTTCCTTGTTTACGGAAGTAGCTGCACTACCCAAACAGAAGCTGTATTTTGGAACCGTGGCA